GCCCCCGCATGTCTGACTGTCTCCGGCCCGTGTGACCGCGCAGCACGGAGATCACACATTTAATGCGCAAAGATTGCTGCTATTTAGTGGGATGCTGGCTCAGAACGAGGGCTTGAGCTGCTGCAGAGGCCAGGATCGGTAAGGCAGAGGTCACAGAGCAGTGTCGCTGTGCCATGGGGCATTCTTGGCAAGACACTTCATAAACAAACCCAGATTTGTTTCCATTCACGCTAGTTTTGTTATTGCATTGCTACTATTTTACAAGCAATTTTAGGAATAACAGAAGCATTCCTGGCCCATGACAACTTCTGTGCCATGTGTTTCTAACTCGAGATGTCTTTCTTGTTGAATTCATCTTAATAGCTGCCCATAGATTTTTAAGAACATTGATAAGATCTAAACAGATGAGGAATTTGGGCAGATGGAGCTCATTAATAACCTGTGTCAATGCCACCATCCTGTATCAAAATCTTACCAACTTTGTCAGAATACAGAAGAAACAATAATTAAGTGGCTTCAGCCCTGCTGGAGGTTTATTTTTTTCATTCTTCTTCCAAGTTATTTTTTTATCCTTTATTTCAGTGGGATACTGCCTGCTGTCTTAATTATTTGGGTCATATCTGCAGAAAACACCAGTATTTTTAATGTCAGTGCCCAAAGAATTCTCACCAAAGATTCAGGACCTCATCTTGGCTTCGGTCAGAGGAAGAATGAAGAGAAAACTGCCAGCTGTTAAAGTAAGATGTGCGCATGCTTAAGTGACTGAGAGAATGTAGGAAGAGGTACTATTGCTTTATTTTTGCAGCTTATCTTCAATGGCCTGTTAATTTAAGTGTTTAATACTCAAAGTGTTAGGTGATCATGATTTCCACTGCACCTATGTAAGAAAAGAAAGGAAACTAACAGTTTTGGCAGCAAGCATTTTGAAGGGGGGAAAAGGGAAAAATAGTATAGGAAGGACCCAAGAAGAGGGGAAAAACTATACAGAAGAAAAGTCCAAAAATTTGACTAAAACAGAAGGAATAGATTTGTAGTGGGGGGAAAGACAACAATATTTGACTATTATCCTCAAGCAGAGGAGAAAACAGTCAAAAATGACCTTACCAGGGTGTTTGAGCCATGGGGATGGAAAACAGAGTGATGTTCACCACTCTAACAGAGGAAGGGAAACTGAAGAACCTGATTACAGAAAAAAAAAATTCATTTTGGTCAAGCCAAATGCTAAAAGACAGTGAGCCAACCAAGATTAAAGATGTGTGATTAAATGGAGGCAAAAAGCAGCAGCAGCATGGACAAAGATGACTGAAACTTGTCAAAAGTAAGTGATAAATAAACCCTTGTAGACAGATGAAATCACTTAAGGATGCAGGTTTAGGGATGCAAGACTCCAATTGCTGTCCAAGCACAGGATTCCTTGCCAGTTTCTGATTGATCTTTTTATTTTTTAATTTTTTTTTTCATTCATTCATTCCTTCAGAAGTGTGTGGGCAGCTTATGCTGAGTTGCTTCTTTGGGAACATTTTACTCATCTTAATCATGGATGATCAAATGAGAAAACTTATAGGATGAATAAAGGTTTTTTTATTTCAATTATAAAAATGATGGCTGAGTAAAGAAACCCATTAAAGCATGTATCTTTATTGAATTCTAAAACATTCTAGTCATCAGGTTTTACAATTACTTAGCACTGGAAATTCTGTAAGCAGAAGTTGGAGTAACAGGAAATGATTGTGTTCCTGTCTTCTCAGGAAAATCAGACAGCAATTATTTGGCTTTGTATTCTTTGACTACACATGCTTATATATAGCTTTGACTTTTGAAGAAATATGCTGCCAGGTGTGGCTGTTCTCTAAGTAGCAATGTTAAGATCTTGATGATAACTCTGGGGAGAAAAAATAAGTTTTTTCCAAGTTCCATTAAAAATCTCACAAACCCATACTTCGCTGCAACTTTGAAACAGGCTCTGGTTTTATTCTTCAGAGTTGACATTGTAGCTGGAAAACAAAATCTTGATCAGGTTAAAGTGTTTTCCATTCCTATAGTAATGTCTCTTGTTCAGTGAAATCATGACATGATTTATAAAGTGCAGGAAAACAGCTTTATGGACAGATGGGTAAAGATTTTGCTCCTTGCATTTGGTGGTGGACTGGGGAAAAGAGAGAGGTCTTTACAGATGTGTGTGAAACAGACACGCTTGGCATGAAAGAAATTCATTTCACAAGCCCACTGACAAGTTTCAGCTAATGGACAGATGTTATCTGTTACACTCACAGAGTTCTTTTTGGCCTATGTCATCACAGAGAATGATCAACTTCCATGTCACAACTCTCTCCTGAGCCAAGCCTGTAATGATGCTGGTCAATTCTATGCATAAATTTGGAAATTCATCTTTTTAATTGATGGTCTCGTATGACTATGGGTTCTGAGAAACTCTGCTGAAAGTAGATTACCAAATATTATGTTGTAATAGCCTTGCCTAAATAAATGTTATTTACCAGCACTGAAAGGAGAGAGATCTTTTTCAGCCCCAAATTTCACTGGGGGTAGAGGCTCAATCAGAGCTGTAGGACTCAAAATGTCATCACAACTGCATAGCTCTGGGAGGGACTGAGGAAAACTCACCAGACCTCAGTACTGGCAAGACAGAGGATGAAACGATGACGGGGGAGTTCCACTCATCCAACATCCTGTAAACAACGAGCAAGGATTAACTTGAGGGCTTGAGAAACAGTTTCTCATGTTATTTTCGCTGACGTGCTCTGACAATACATAAGATAGTATCACAGCACTTGTGCAAGCAGTGAAATCAAAGTTTTATAACCATGCTGTCGTTTAACACG